ATTAGGCACTCTGTCACTATCTGTAAGGCACTGAGCATACAGCAGTGATAAATATAGTTCTAATACTTAAAGAGCTCAAAGGACTAGTTAGGGAGGCAGACAAGAATATCAAAGAGGGATGCAAAAGTTAAATGGGAAGTGAGAAAGACGGCAAAGAGGGGCACCTTACTCAGAATGATGGGGTGTTGTATAGGAGAGAAGGGAAGGGAATGGCAGGGAAGGGCAGGTGTCATTCAGGACTCCTAAGAAGGAGTTACCAACTTTGGTTTGGATCTCTCTGGCAGTATGGTGAAGCCTAGGGACCCATTTTCAAAACAGTGTTTTTAAATGCATACAATACTTTGGATTAACAAAGGAAACAGTGTATTAAAAAGCTATTGAAGTATTTTTTTAAAAAAATAATGAGTGACTTAGTAATATATGTGCTTCTTGATTAACTCATTGAACAACAAGATCTAGAGGTAGGCATCATTAACATAATTTTGAGGTAGCAATGAATGTGAGTGATATTTTGGGTTAACTGCAGCAACTGTAATGTAATACGGAAATACCTGTGGTTTCTTCTGGTTGCAAAAGCATAGGTATTGCTAATACTATGTGGTTTGTGGCCTACATTTGTAATAGGATGTGCTGAATTTTTATTTAGCGGTTTAGTTTGATGTAATTTCCTGGATCCCTGAATTCTATACCAAGTTTTTAAAAATACCTGGTGTTAAGGAGAGAGAAAATTTGAATATGTTTAGGCAGACTGAAGGAGGTATCTGGGTGAATGAAATAGCTGTGAGTTTGAAACATATGGAACAGCATGTACAAAGATGGAGAAGGCATGAGAAAAGGTCAGGGGCTGTCAGCAGATTGCATTGGTAGGATCAAGAATGAATTAAAAAAAAAAAGAATGAATTTCACATTGTGGTAGGCAGTGCAGCTGAAAAGACTGGCAAAATCTCATATCTTTGGGATATGGGTTGATTGTACACTATGGTGATTAAACGTGCTCCTGTGTTTACTATATTTAAAATCCTTTGCAAACTCTATATTGCCTAGGGTGGGGGTCCAGAACGAATCAGTTCAATTTTGCCTCAATGGTATACAGAATGTCTGGAGCTAAAGAAAACTTTAACCTCAGGCTCAGGAGAAACTTCTGCCCATCTCCCTTAATTACATAGGAGAATTTAAATCAGAGACCTTGCCCATTAGAGGCAACGTCTTTTAATCTATTTATAGGGCAAGGCAAACTTCTTTTTACTAGAAGTCTGATTCTCTTACCATCCTGCAACGATCCTTTGAAGCCTCAAGGATCCTTACTTCATCCCTCGCTCAGGATGTCTTATGTACTTTAATACCCTGTCTCTGAAACTCTCATGTCTGTGGGGTCTCTGACTCTTGTATGCGAAGTTACCATACATATGTAGGTATTACATAGGGTTATTTTCTCTTGCTAATCAGCCAGAAGAACCTTGAAGGGAGAGTAAAGTTTGCTCCTCCTCCTACTAACATATATGGTTGCTTTTCATATCTAACCCAGATTTTCTTTTTTGTCTCATTTACCATCACTTTTCCTGTCATATACTGTACTCCAAGGACTCTTAATATCATGTTATATTTACATACACTATTCTCTTTACCTCTACTCATCAGATGAATGGCCACTTTCTGTGCCTTCGCTGTAAAATGAGAACAGTAAGTACCCCGAAGACTTGTTGTGGGGATTAAATCAAATAGTTATTGAAACTTGTTTGGCACAATACCTGACACAGGGAGAGCTCTCAATAAATAATAGCTATTATTACCTATAATATCTTTTCCCCTTGCCCAATTAGCCAACCCCTATATATTCTTTAAAACCTAGCCTGAACTTTACCTTCTAAAAGGTTTCCTGATCACCTGACTTTCATTTCTTACAAATATAATGAATAATTTTCTCTTCAATATTGTATATAAGTATAGCTTAATTTCAATTTTTGTATTTTTCACAATGGATTACAATCTCTCATTTCTATATTATTTTCCCTATTATACTGTGGAACTCGTAAAAGGGCTGAATATTATTTTTGATGTCTATAGTGTTTGATTTTATTGGGAGGCCACTTACTAGTTTCCACACCTGTCCATGAGGGGCAGCCACTAATAAGGTACTTTTAAATTCTGGATCCAGTGATACTTTATGGAAATAATAGTAGACAGACAACTTGGTACATGCTCTCACAATCTCTCATTACCTGAATTACTGCATACTTCCTTAAAAATTTATTATATTTCTAATTAATAAAATGTAATGCCTTCTCTTTATAAAAAGAAATTCAAGCAATGCAGGGGATATGTGATTTAACAATTCCATCTTCCAGAAATACTCACTGTTCACTCTGTGTGATGTATATATTGTCTAGACTTCTTTTTAAAAAAAAATATTTTATTGATTTTTTACAGAGAGGAAGGGAGATAGAGAGCTACAAACGTCGATGAGAGAGAAACATCGACCAGCTGCCTCTTGCACACCCCCTACTGGGGATGTGCCCACAACCAATGTACATGCCCTTGACAGGAATTGAACCCGGGACCTTTCAGTTCTCAGACCGATGCTCTACCACTGAGCCAAACCAGTTTCGGCTATTGTCTAGACTTCTACTCTGTTTCCCCGAAAATAAGACAGTGTCTTATATTATTTTTTCTCCCAAAGTTGCGATAGGCCTTATTTTCAGGGGATGTCTTATTTTTCCATGCGCTAGGTCTTATTTTCTGAGGATGTCTTATTTTCGGGGAAACACGGTATATTCAAACTAGAGGCCCAATGCATGAAATTCATGCAAGAGGGGGCCTTCCTTTTCCTGGCTGCCAGCGCTGGCTTCCCTCTGGCACCCGGGACCCGAACTGGCTTCCTTCTGGGCCAGCTTTGTCCGGAAGGACATCCAGTCTAACTAGCATATTACCCCTTTATTACTATAGATATGAACGCATTATTTTTTTTTATTTATGCATTCTTCTGTTTCCTTCTAGAGAAGCTGCTACTCCCCTGTTTAATACCCCTAAAATGCTATCCATTTCTTTTAGGATAAAGACTAAACATTTAAGATGACATAGGGAGTCCTACATGTTCTGACCCTTTCTTATTTCTCTAGCTCTGGAATCATTCTTGACTGTGTTGCATTCTAGCATTGAGACAGTGGACAAGTTTTTTTCAACTGTCAAATGAAGATTAAAAAATGATACTTATCACAAGAAAATAATACACAAAGTGCCAAACATACTGCCTGGTTGTGAGTTAACAATAGCTGTTAATTTAAAGCTAATGACTAAAAGAGTAGTTTGTATTTAAGTATTGGCTATTGTGGAAGAACCAATCGTTCTTGTATATATGAATATGTTTAATCTCTCTTGCTTTCTGAGTAGAATTCTTTGAGGTGTTGATTGGATAATGCTTAAACATAATTGGAACAACATCCATTCCGCCCACCAAAATTAAAACGAAAAATTAAAAAAGGAAGAAGGGAAGAGATTGATTTGAATAGATTTGAAAGAAGATGGGAGGTGTAAACCTGAGTGTTGTGGGAGGTGGAAGAGGGGCTAGTTCCCACAGAGGTTTATTTTAGTTTTTTGGCCAGGGAGAGAGGGTGTTTTGAGAGGGGGTAAGGGTGGTAGCGGGGAGGTGGTGATAAAAATTAAGGAAAGAGATTTGAGAGCGGCAATTGTCAGAGTAAGTTAGACTCTGGAGAGATAACCGGGTAAGATCTTTAGGACATTTTGCTAACGTCCCTCCACTCCAGTGCCCATAGATGTAGGCTTTATGGATGTCAGACTTAAAGTTCTTTTAGAATGTAACGCTGAGCTGAGATTGGTCATGAACCAGCCGAGGGATTCCAGTTACACAATCATATTTGCCAGTCTCCAGCCTCCACTATCCACGTTTAGGACGCCTGCCCGAAATTGGTTCATCAACAAATATTTGAGTGACCTATCTCTCCCCTTCTGCTGAATAGCCTGGTTTCCAAGGTCAGCCCCTAACCTCTTCTACAGTGACTCTTGTGACACTCCAACTCCAAAATGTGCTGCTCCTCTGGGAGCGCGCGCGCGCGTGTAGGTATGTGTGTGTGTGTGTGTGTGTGTGTGTGTGTGTGTATGTGTGTGTGTGTGTGTGTGTGTGTGTGTATGTGTGTGTTTGTGCAGCCTAACTCCCGCGTCCGCTGCATTCCTCGCGCCGTTCAAGGCCGAGCCCAAATGCTGGACCATCTTTCTTCCTCCACCGAGCTCCTTCCCGCCAGGGGTGGCATTTTAGAAACGCACTCGCTCAGGGCGAGGCGCGAAGAATCTCAGTAAACATTTGGTGAATGAATGTCCCGGGCATCTCCGTGACATCACATCCTGTGTGCAGGGGCGTGGGCCGGCGCTCTGCGGGAAGCCTAGGGGGTCGCAGGGCTCGGGTCCTCGTGGACCAGATGCCTCGGAGCCGCCAGGAGAAGCGCGGCCCCGCGGAGCTCCGGGGCTTCTGACCCGGAAAGTCCAGTTGGAGGCAGCAACGCGGCGCCCAGCAGGTGCCGCCGCCGCCGCCGCCGCCCTCCGGCCGCCGCAGAGCGCGCGGGGGCGGGAGCTCGAGGCTCACCTGTCGCGGTGTTTCCTTTCTTTCCACTCCCGCCCCTTCCCGGGGAGCTCTCGCGAGAGAAGCCGGAGGAAGATGGCCGTGCCCTGTTTTTCAGGCTGAGACCGCGGGTGGCAGCGGCCGCGCCGGTGACCGAGATCGTGGTGTCGCCGCGGGTCCCCTGAGCACTAGCTCCCCCCAGCGAGCGCGCGTCCAGCGTCGTCCCCCAGCCGAGGGCCGGCGGCGCCCCTTCCCGCGGGAGATGCGTCCGTCCGGGGCGCGGGGGCTCTCCGCGAGTTCCTGCGGCGCCGGCGGCTCCCGGCCACCGCTCTGAGCGCCCCGCGCCGCCGCCGCCGCCGCCGCCGCCGCAGCGCCCACTCCGCCGCGGGCGGCCAGGCCCCGGACCCCCTCCCTGCCCCTGGCGGCGGCGATGACCGGGGAGAAGATCCGCTCGCTGCGGAGGGACCACAAGCCCAGCAAAGAGGAGGGGGACCTGCTGGAGCCCGGGGATGAGGAAGCGGCGGCGGCCCTCGGCGGCACCTTCACCGGAGGCAGGCTCGGCGGCGGCGGCGGCGGCAAGGGCGGCAGAGCCTGTCATAAGATCTTCAGCAACCATCACCACCGGCTCCCGCTGAAGGCGGCCCCGGCCTCCTCCGCGCCGCCCGGCGCGCCGGCGCCGCCGCTGCACAACTCCGCCGTCCCCGCCGCCTCCCAGCCCCAGGCCCTTCTAACGGGCACCCACCCCGCCGCGGTCGCCGCGGACGGAGGCGTCTCCCCCGCACACTACCCGGTGCACGAGTGCGTCTTCAAGGGGGACGTGAGGAGGCTGTCCTCGCTCATCCGCACGCACAATATCGGGCAGAAAGATAATCACGGTGAGGAGTGCGCTCGCCCCCATTCCCCTTCCCCCTCCCCGGGCCTAGGGTGTGCCCCCCCCCCCTGCCCCCCAGGCCTCTGCAAATCCCAGGCTCCTCGCCCGCAGACCCTCCTTTCCTCGCTCGGCTCGCCCTCCGGGCCAAACGCCCGGCCGTCAGCACGGGTTGGGGAAGAGCATGCCAATGGTCAGGGCTCGCGGGTGCAAAGGAATGTTTCCTCCTCGCCCACTTCAAAGTTTCCCGCAAGGAGCCGTTTTGTTTGTCTTTGAGACAGGCCTTGAGTGTGTGTGTGTGTGTGTGTGTGTTGATTCTTGACGATAAGAGTTTTTAACGGTGCCTCTCAGCCGTCCTGGCTTTCTTGCTCTCTCTCTGTTTACGGAATTGTGTTTCCCTTCTTTCATCTCCCACCTTGGGGGCGGGGGGTGGGGTGAAGGGGGTGTCTTGATTTGGGATTCAGATAGTGTCCACTGACCTCCATTCCCTAGGGACAGATCCCAACGTGATTGCAACTGGTTGTGATCGGTACCTGCCAGGGGGTGGTTTTAGGAAAATGTGATACAAAGTGTCTGATTTTCGCATTTAAGATGGAATACCAAGGGCCTGGATATTTTGAAAGCCACGCAGTTTACATTTGTTGACATCTGATACCTAGCGTAAGTAAAGTGACTTCTGAGTAGGTAACATTGTGTTGGAGTAGAGCTCTGAATGTTTTGCTTGTTTTAGATAGGCAATTGCTGATAGTAACATTTCATCTTGATGACTGACAAAATAGTTCTGTGGTTTTTCATAGTAACTTCATCACAACCTATATGTCAGAATGTAGAATTATTTGTTATTCAAGGACTTTATTTCAACTTTTTGCCTTTAACTCATCAGCTGATTTTTTTTATTCTTTAGTTCTAAAAACAATGATTGAGTTGACCTCTAGTCAACAGTAAATTAATGAAAACCAATGTAAACATTGATATTTTCAACATTTCATAGGCCATTTAAACTGGGTAGTTGGCAAGTGATGTTGATAGCTTTGCTTTTAACTGAGCATGACTATTGCATACATTCAGTTAGGATACACTGAACTCTGTGCTCCAAATAATATAACACATTGATGAAATACTTGCCTGTGGAATAAGCTCCTTTAATTCCATTGGATTCTAGGCTTATCCAAAATTAGGACAGAAATTGAGGTGAAGTAAGATTTCTGTTGATTGTATAATTTTCTAACAATTGCTCTTGTATTCTGAATTTAGTGATATTATAATAATACCACTACTTGTCATTTATCATAAATCAAATCCCCCCAAAAGTACCTGAAAACTGCACCCAGTTTTTCATTCCTACATTTATTTATTTTACTATTGTTGCAACAAGTATAATATTGTTTGTTGATGGTAATATATTTTGACTTTTTTTGGAAAGAATGTTTAGTGGGAAAAATGTTGTAATTTCTGATTATTAGTCAATTATTAAGAGGTTTCTCATATTTTGGTCTTCATAGTAGCTACGTTTCACTTTGGTCATTGTCATTGGAAGAAAAGTCCCTGAAAACATAAAAGATTCCTTCTGAGAGTTAATAACATTTCAAATAAGAGCTATGTGAATATAAATAGTATAGTATGGTATGTTAGAACTGATTTTCTTGATTGATCGCAAATGGTACTGAATTGCAGGATTATTGGGCTTCCATATTCTATAATGCAACATTTAGAAGTTGGTTTGTTAAAATACAAATTCTATTCAAAGTAATGGAAATCCTAAATACTCTTAAGTTCTTGTCCTTAGCCCACTGAAATTCACTTTTTTAAGTTGCCTTGATATATCAAATGTTTGCATTGTATTTAGCTACCATTATTTTGTTGATATTTCTGATGAATGTAACCAGTGGCTCACATACCTATGGAAAGTGTAATTATTTTTCCCCTTCAATATGTATTTTCATGTCCTGCAGTAGAGTCTCCTAGGAAGAGTAGTTTATATTTAATGTGCTACTTGTTTAATTCTTTTTTTTTCTCTGTAGCTGCATTATTTCCCCATTATATTTTGTTATTTATATGCTTCGTTTTTAGCAACCTGGATACTTTATTTAGATTTTTAGAATATTTTTCATTTCACATTACAAAAGATAAATGCTTTCTAAGTCATTCAAACAGAAACAAGCTATGTATTATATTTGGATTGTTGTAACATGATAAGGGCATAGCAGAATCATATACTCATACCAGTGCATAGCAGAGCCATACAATCATACCACACCATATCATATAGTTTTATATTCACTGTAGAGATGCCTTCCACAACATTATGATAGTGGTCATCATCATAGATACAATTTATTGAGTGTTTCAGCATTGTACTAAGTGTTTATACACATTATCAGATTTAATTCTCACAATTACTTTGCAAAGCAGATGTTTTTATCCTTATTTTAAAGGAAGGTTTTCCTAAAGTTTCATACTTAGGATAAGTTGCAAAAATGAGAAGTGAATATCAAAGCCCATGATCAACCTCTTTGTAAATATTTCTATTGATCAGGACCCACTATATTGCAAAGAAGTTAATTTTAATGTGTATGTTGCAGTTTATAGCCAAGTGCTTTAATACATTATTTTCCCATTTAGTGGTTATAGTAGATTTGTAGAGAGATTTTGCCATTGGAGAACTCTCATAGTTTTTCACAGAGCCCAAATCTCTTGCTGTTCTGCATCTTTTTTATTTAAATGGGCTACCTGGTTCACTTGATAGTCCTTTAGATATTTGACAAGAGCTATCATGTTCTTATCTTCAGGTAAACATTCCTAACTTCTGTTTCCATTCTTCATATAACATCATTTATAAAATTCTTAGAATGGTCCCAGAAACATAGTACATACTAAGTGCGTGTTAAATAAGTGAAAATCTTAAACATCTTCTTTCAGTGAAACTCTGGTTTTTAAATTCTTCTTTATTGTTGAATTGAATAGGAAGAAAAAAGGAAAAATAGAGTTTTTTCTTTTGTGGTAAAATATTGGTTGAATATGAATTGCTTTTTTTGAGCCATCAATTATTATTATTATTATTTTTATATATTTTATTTATTTATTTATTTTTTTAACAGAGAGGAAGGTGAGGGATAGAGAGCTAGAAACGTCAATGAGAGAAATATCGATCAGCTGCGTCTTGCACACCTCCTACTGGGGATGTGCCTGAAACCAAGGTACATGCCCTTGACTGGAATCAAATCTATGACCTTTCATTCCTCAGGCTGATGCTCTATCCACTGAGCCAAACCAGTTAGGGTGTCATCAATTATTTTGAGGCCTACTGCATTTGGATCCAAACAAATCTCTTGAAATTTAAGTTAAATTATATATATACTATGTTCAAATATACCAAGCGATGTGACTCATTGTATGTTTAGTAACAACTGTTTTTGGAATGGGTAAAAGATCCATTACATTACATGTACACAGATTTATTAAACTTTATATATTTGTTCTATCTTTTCTCTTTAGCATAGAATTAAAGTTTAAGTATAAATATTTTTTACATTGACTATTAAGATTTTTCTGAATCACTTTTAGCTAATGGTAGTTAAACAAACCATCATGTTTTTACCTCTTCACCTTTAGAATTGAGAATGCTTGTGAAGCATATCGAAGACTTTTTTTTACACCAAGCAACCTCTATGGCTGCTGCTTTTTGGATCTCGAAAACTTTCTTGATTTTGAGTGCACTTCCTATTTGTTAAACATTAATTTTATTTTATTTTTCTTAATTTACTTACATATCCTTAGAAGTTAAGCATCTTCTCTTGGCCATTAGTCAGAAGCTTTTAGGTGTCAGAAAGATGAAAGTCATTGATATGTAAATTGCTCACACTAGCCTTTTCTAGATTGTGAACAATTTCTGATCTATTCTGAGAGATTTGGCAGTTTCTGCTGCCTTTACGTTGCCTGGCATATGACAAGCCATCCTCTCTATATACAGTTAATTTTTATTTTTACTGAGTTGTAGTATATTCCTGAAGTGATTGTAGATTTCAAATTAAAGTTAAAATTCAATTTAGAGTGTTTCTAAATGCAGGTAACTCATTGAAGTGATAAGGAAATAATTAACATGTGTTATATCTCTGCCTGGTAGTCCACAGATGTCTTCAATAAGGGATTTTGATACATTTTAATTTTGAAAAATTAAAAAATGTATGTTTGAGAATTGAGGCAATAGGATAATCTGTTTAGTGTTTGTAAGTTTTTTTCAATTCTGATTTATTCTCTAGAAATCTTTAAATTCCCTTTTGGTATTTTGCCACTAAAATCTTTATGATAGGTGATGCAAGAGAATAATGCATACTATGCCTATATGAGAAGAAATGATTATAAAGCTAAACTGCATGACAAAAAAAATAAAAAATAAAAGTCTCAAACTAAGCCTCAAGTGAACAATTTTAGCCAGGAGGATTATAATGATGGCGCATCTTTATTTTATTCATTTATTTTTTTAATAAATTTTTATTGTTCATATTATTACAAATGTTCCTTCCTTCCCCCCCCCTCCATTGCTCTCCTCCACCAGATTCCCACCCCACCCTCTGCCCTTTCCCCACCCCCCATTGTCCTCATCCATAGGTGCACAGTTTATGTTCAGTCGCTTCCCACGTCCCCCTCTCCTCATTTCCCCAAGAATTGTCAGTTCACTCCCCTTCCATACCTCTGATTCTATTATATTCAATAGTTAATATTGTTCATCAGATTTTTTTTTTAATTTCCTTGGTTTTTAGATTCCCTTGTTGATAGTTACGTATTTGTTGTTCATAAATTTTATCTTTATTTACTTTCTCTTATGAAAGAACCCCCTTCAGCAATTCATATAATTCTGGTTTGGTGGTGGTGAACTCCTTCAGCTTTTTTTTTATTAGTGAAGCTCTTTATCTGACCTTTGATTCTGAGTGATAGCTTTGCTGGATAGATTATCTTTGGCTGTAGGTTCTTACTATTCATCACCTTGAATATTTCTTGCCATTCCCG